CACGTGAGGATGGAAGGTGATTTTGTCAATGTGGTTATCAGTATCCTTCTACTTGAAGGCATCGGCAGAAGCCTCAACCCTAATATTGATCTTTTGTCATCTGCCTTGCCTATTCTCCGGCAATTAGGTGCTCAAAGCGGAGGGGGAATGTTGAGAAAAGGCGATTTCTCAATGCTCAGAGTATGGGCAGGGCTGGAGGCTAGGAGCTTCTTACAAGCTTCTATCGAAGATGTAAGTCATCCCTATAATCTTCACAAGCTAATTACTGACATGAATACTCTAGGTTGAAAGATGTGTAAAATATGACTTATTGTCACCAAATGTATAAATTATAGATACGGGGCACAAGGTCTGAGAATATAATATAATAGAGTCGGGTTTTCGGTATCATCGAATCTATCTCCAAGTTCATCGATATAATAAGTTTCTCCTTATATCACTTATTACCTATGATACCAACTTCTTGATGCTGATGTTATCTGTTCACTTCGCTTATATGGTAGAGACACTACTAGTGATACGCTTGACCTACACGGATACCGTCCGTCATCCTGCTCACCTATCATGGGAACGCTAGTGACGTTCTTATGGCAACGAAGTAGGAGATTGAAACAAACAGTTCCGATTCTCTCGCCTGGATTACAAGGCGGAAAGACGCGTCTTTGTCAATGGTTGCTCATAGCTACTTGCTTCTTTTCACTTCTAATCCATCTCAGAACACAGGTGTCTTCAGCTTATTGCAGATACTTGATTTAACACCATACCAGAGCCTTCAATCAAAGTCTAGCTTCTATCCTTGCACTTGAGCATTCATGCTTTACTGTCTCAAACAGAAAGTTGAGATCTAAGTGGTGGTCTCTATGCCATAGTAGGCTACGGCAAAGTCCATCACAATCTAACGCACAGCAGCTTAGACTCAATCCTCTAGGGACTGTACTATTTCTCTGGCTTCAAGATCAATTCTCCCTGTCAGGAGGTATGTGTTATTTCTATAGCTTGCCTTCTACTGGTTTAGGTTGGGGTTGTCACAACTGTCTCCAAAAACCTTATATGGGCATTGCAAGAATTGTCAAATAAGATAAGCAGCTATCAGACCGATAGTAAACTTGTCCCTATATCATCTTGTCAGGGCGATATCGAATATTGCCTCTTCACATGAGAATAATCATCCTCAATGCTACCTCAAATTTATTCTGACATCTCCCCTTTAGTCACATAGCTACTTAAGCGTAGATCTTTTCGGTGACTGAATCGCACTACTGTATGAGCACAGCATTTCCGATCAAATCTATATGAGCCGCTTATTGACTTTTTCGTCAGACTGGGCTTGCAAGCAACTCCCACAATCCCGCAGTCCGAAACTCAAATAGGGATTTTGTTAGGCTCTACTGGGTTTTGCGTCACTTAAGATGTCCTCTGATCTTACCTTATCATTAAGGCCTTACCTGTCTAATTCCCCAAATAATAATGATGGCGAACAACATAGGGGAGATGTCTCGCAATGGACTCACATATATCAGCCGGATCGACATGCTCAGAATGGTCCACCAGGAGAGGGACTAAGAATGCCACGTTACCACCTTGAGAGGAATCAGAACATTACAAATTGGCCAGGCCTTTTATCATGGAAATGGAGATTCCTTATTGGGCTACTACTCGTAGTGGTTGGATATATATCAACAATAGCTGCACTCGTAATAGTTGTCCAAAATACGACCCGTAATACACCAATGAATGGTGGTCCTCAGATCTGGCTTGCTGGCAGTACGGTAGCTTTTCTCCTTGGAATTTTGATCAGTACGAGTGTTGCCTGTGATCTTGGCGGGGATAGGGCCTTTGCCGCATATGACCAAAGTGTCAGGGACCAGTGGTCTTCAGGCCAGGCTAGTCAGTTTACAACACCTGCCCATCCTAGCAGAAATGCCGAAGTCACGGCTGCTGCGCAAACCCATGGAGAACATGGGGCAGCTCCTGGAATGCCACGGACTGCTGTTGCGAACCAACGTGATTCTGAGGAGACGAGATGGTCAATGTTCTATAAAGGGCATGTGGCCTTAGGTGAAGCAAATACAGTCCCTGGAGATATCCCCAGAGGGTCAGTTCCTGGCGCCCAAGGTGCTGATGCAGGACCTGCGCCTAGGCACTCCATGAGTATGGAAGACACCGACGAGGATGATATAGGACGAATTGGTTCAACGGCGTGTAGTTCCGTCAGAATCTGTAGACCAGTGTCTATCGCTTCCCACAATGCTAGCATTAGCTATGCTCCTTCTTCTTCTTCTGAGCGTCCAGTTCAGATCTCTCCTCCGCCAGACAGGATGCACCGCAGGGTGTCATCGACGCCGTCACTTAACTCCATTGAAAGAGCCAGAAGATTTGCTCGCCGCCATACTAGTGTCACGTCAACCTCGTCTTTCTCTCCACACTGGCCAGATTCTGTTCCAGAAGAAAGTTATGATAGCCAGGGAATTGAGATGCAGGATCTGACTACTTCTCAAACAAGCCGTGAGCGGAATCAGGTGGTAACTAGCAGAACACGAAACCCGATACCAGCCTTGTGGAATGTCCATAATTATGAGATGTCAAGAACCAATGTACGCCGAGCAGCACCAGAGTCAGAAGCTAGCATCCAGCGGGACTATAACACTGGACCCCAGGATCAAGTTGTAACCCCAGCGAACCATGAATGGAATCAGGAGGGAGAATGGAAAGTTCAATCACTTCAGGGAAGCCGCAAATTAGCCTAGTGGCTATATTCATTCAATGTTAGAGTATTCACTTGTAGCGTATACACTGTTTTAAGTACTTCTTTTCTCCCTGTTTTCCCTTCGGATATTCGTTGCAAGTATTCTACTTCGTAGATACGTTTCTTATGTGGTCGCTGGTAAAGTATCCAGTTCTACTTCCCTCTACGTATGAATGAGACTGGATCTAGGAAATTTTACAAGAGGTCTAAAGTCTATGGTATTCAAAATGTTAATTAGCATACCAGGTGGATCGTATTTTCATGATTAAATTTCGTATACAACAGACCCAACTCCTGGATATAAGTCATTTCAAATTATCATACAGCCCGATCCGTCCTCTTCCTATTTTCTCGCTGTCTCTTCTCTTTGGCAGCTAATTTTCTCCTCTTTTTCCATGCCCTGTTTGTATCCCCCCTATTCTCATAGAACCATTTCTGAAAGTCACTCTCTGTTTCAGTCTTCTCATCAGTTCCCTTACGTCCTTTCAATCCTTTTGAAGGACTTCCTTCATAAGCTTCCTCATCTTCATCTTGGTCTTCATTCTCACTAGGCCAAACAAATCTTTTGTTCGGAAATGCCGTATCGGGTGTTGGTGCTGCACTGCGAAGGCCACGATATTCAAGGTCTTTTTGCGTGAAAGGAGTTAACGGGACCTGGTACTGCGAAACGGTATTTTGCTGATTATCATTATCATCTTCTATATCATTTTCATCACCTCCAAAAAAGCTAAATGAGGGCTGTTCAGAAGCTGGCTGGTTACTATCAGGGCGAGGCTTTTTGAACAGAGCTTCCAATGGGTGAACTTCAGTTGCGCCAGACTGGGCATGGGAGGCTACAGGGGTGGATGGGATCGGCGGTGGTATCTTTATACTTAGGTTTGGTGCAGTCCCAGAGGATGAGCGAGGTCTAGATGTCGACTGCTTTCGCATCTCGGTCTCTACTGCAGGAATTTCATCCTCTGATGAAGAGTCCTCTGAAGAGCTGTCTTCGTCTGAAGACTCTTCCGAAGTATCTTCACCTGCTCCAATAGCTTGTTTTAGTTCCTTATCATCTGATTCTTCCTCATCTGAAGAAGTTCCGGAACTAGACGTTTCCGAGTCCTCCTCGGCCAATTCAAGACTTGTATCTTGTTTAGCACCATCCGTTTCTTCTTTGTCCGACAAGGAATCCTCTTCTGGCGATGACTCAGACGTGCTGTTAGTTTCACCCACAGTGTTCCCCCGCGATTCCTGCTTGTCCACTTTTACGGATTTTCTCTCCTTTGTGATTACTTCCTCAACCATGTTGCCGTCTTCATCGACCCAGCCTTTGCCATCCACAAACTCCACGGCAGTTTTAGAACTACTAGATGTTGCAATCGAGCTCTTTAAAAATGTCGCATGCTTTGTAGTCTTAGCAAATTCATGCACAACAACCTCTTTTCCCTTCTTGGAGCGTTTCCTTTTGTCAGATTTAGCCTTAGTTAGTGTTGGGTCCACAACGTTTGCTGCAACATTTGGAGGTACAACGGTCTTAAATAGACACTCAGGGTTGGCTGTATATTTCGATTTGACTACTGTCTTCTTTTTTTCTTTTTCCTTCTCTTTGTTCTTTAAGCGCTTTTCTGGTTTCAAAGCTGCAGCTGGTGTAGTCCACCCCCTCTTGACATGGCGATCGCCTATCTCAGCTCCCTGTATTGTATCTGGGTCTCTCTTCCGTTTCCTCGAGGAGCTCTTCTTTTCCTTCACCGATTCTTCCACTTCTCCAGTCGGTGTGATTTCCTTTTTAGGTCTTGCATTTTCTATTCGTAATTTCGTCCCTTTCAGAATTGAGCCGTTAAGCTTCTTCCTTAACTTATCAGCTTCCATGACAGGGAGTTCAACGTAACCGTAAGCTTTTTCAGGGAAAGTCTGTAACGAGTGATAGGAAATATTGCGGGCACTAGGAAGCGTTGAAGCTGGGATGATCGTTGTAAGTAAATTAGGATTAAAAGGTGTGATATGTAGTCGGACGTAGCTTGAGCTTGAATCTGTGGTTAACCCAGATTCTGACTCTTGCTGGACTGCCATGTCACCAGACCATACACAATTGCATCGTTCCAAAATCTTTGAAGCTGAAGTCTCCAGGTGGTCGTAGCTTTAAGATTTCTTTATCCCGGCTCGACCGGGCAAATGTCGGGCCGTAAGAAGCAATGCCAACAGATTATGACTTTAGCGGGCCAGTCAAGAAGAATCGATAATAATATCGGATAAGCAAGTTTCTTACAACAGGCACGGGCGTTTGGTCTAGGGGTATGATTTTCGTTTCGCATTGCAATGTGCAATTATGAAAGGTCGTGGGTTCAATTCCCACAACGTCCACAGCTTTTTTTGTCTTCAGGACCGATAATTTTGACATTCTTTTTTCATACCACGGTTAACAGGGTTCACTTTCCCTAGGGGAGGACAAAGATGCTAGGTGTCTCGGCGAGCTCGGTTAGCATAAACTTAACATTTCTAACGTCTAATTGCTTGAATGGCTCTAAGTATATCTGCTATGTAACTGTTATCACCGGTGTGGACTTGGTTCTAGCTTGTTTTATTTCAATATATAATAGTGAGCTTTACCAATCTGAGTCATTTTAGGGTTGTTTGCAATCTGACTCTTTCGACATTCTTATAGTTTGTCGTATATGCGTCAGTATATGCGTCAGTATGCTTCAAATGCTTAAATCCAGTCATTTCTCATGCAAAGATTAGGTGCTTATAGTCCACTTTCCCGCGGGATTCTCCTCGGCAAAGGATGGGGCCCAATATGTAGGTGACTAGTCTTGAGTATATGATGGAATGGTAGTGGTAGCACCAAGTCGCTAAGAAGCCCACTTTCATGTCAATCGCGCCCTACGGTAGTGTACTATTTATGTACTGAAAGTTATCATATTATCATGCTGGAGTTAAACCGAGAATCTACATCTTCAAACTCACTGAATACACTATGGATAGAAAGATTGGAATAATCGGTGCCGGGATAACAGGGCTTGCTACAGCGCTTGTGCTTTGCCCAGATTATGATATCACGATTGTAGCTCGAGATCTCCCAGGGGATCTAGGGACGAACTGGGCGAGTCCATGGTACTTTATAGCCTCTTTCCATGCAGAAACTAGAAATAACAAACTGCAACAGGGCAGGAGCAGTATTTCATCCGCAGCAAACAATATCTAAAGCCGTGCAGGAAATGCAGACGGCGTCGTTCAAATTCTACTGGTCACTAGCCCAGCAGGACTCATCCGCGGGAGTAAAAGTTTACCCAATGACGGAATTCTTTGATAACCCCATCAAAGACTCTGAAGTCTGGTATAAAACTCTGATGCCTGAGTTCAGATATCTTGACTCCAAGGACTTACCACCTGAGACAGCCGCCGGGGTGAAATATAAGTCCCTAGGAATCAATCCTATTTTCTTCTTGCCATGGATTAAGAAGCAATTAGACGCCAAAGGAGTGAAATTCATCAGGAAAGAAATATCCTCAATTGAGGAGGCAAGGAAGCTGACCGGAGCAAGAGTGATTGTCAATGCTTCAGGAGTAGGGGCAAAGAGTCTCGCCGGAGATGAAGAAGTGAAACCCGTCAGAGGACAGACGATGTTTGTAAAAACAGATTTCGAAGAACTGTTTATTAGAGAAGGGAGGGAGTATACTTATGTAATTCCACGCAGTGGATCTGGTGGCGTAATCATGGGCGGTATAAAGTCGGATAGACTAGATACTGAGGTTGATGTCGAGCTAAAGAGTGACATCCTCAAAAGGACGAATAGGATGACTGGCGGTGCTTTCAAAGCAATCGATGTATCATCTGTTACTGATATTGTCGGTTTTAGACCAGGAAGAACGAGCGGCTTGAGAGTCGAAAGGGAAAGGGATGTAATACATGCTTACGGCGCTGGAGGCGCGGGTTATATATACTCCTTCGGCGTAGCAGAAAGGGTCAAAGCTCTACTAAAAGGCATCACGGAGAACGCACGACTATAGAATGCAATAGATGAGACATTATGTAATTCGTTAAATCGTAGAAATCTATAAATCTAAACCCCAACCAACGCCGTGGCTATGCATATCTATAATCATGATAATTTACGATATTGCTATCTCTTCTCTATTCATATCTGTCGAATACCTTGATTCCAAATTTCCAGACTTGGTCAACGACCAACTTCGTCTCTCCATTAGCAGCGACCTGTTCATCTAGAACCACCAAATCCGCATCCGCGTCACTCTCTAAACATCCCTTCACCCCGGTCAGATCCAACATGGCGGCTGGAGTAAGGGTTACTGCCTTAAGTGCCTGCGGAATGCCAGCTCCTGACCAGTTTAGGAAGTTGTTCACACACTCAATTAGAGTAATAGAGCTACAAAAAATAGTCAGCCAAAAAAGCAACGAAGGTGATAATCATGAAACTAACCTTCCAGCGATCTTATCAGACCCTTGCAGAGTCAGATGGGGGCCATTTTTCACAATATACTCGCCATTGGTCCACTCATAGACGCCGTCTGGCACCCCAACTAGTCCCATGGCATCTGTGACCAATATGAATCCATCAGGGTGAGCATTATATGCTATCTTGACTGTCGTAGGATGCAAGTGAATGCCATCGGAGATAACGCCGAAGTATGGTCGTGGGAGACTCTCCGCGATACCAAGAACTCCGAACACCCCTGGATTTCTGTGATGCAAGGGTCGCATTGCATTGAAGAGATGGGTGATCATTTTAGCTCCCGCTGCTACTGCAGCAGAAGCTTGCTCATATGTTGCTTCCGTGTGTCCAACTGAATAGAGGATACCCCTCGAGGTGATCTCGGGAATGATTGATGTCATTGCGCCAACCTCAGGTGCAGCAGTTATCATCTTGACTCGTGGTGGTCTTAGAGAACCATCATAAGGATCTTTTGTGGACTTTAGATTTGAAGCCCCATAGCATTCTTCAAGATCGGAGAATCCGTCGTTTGCGGCAATCAATACATCAACTTTATGAATTCCATTCTTAGTTGGATTCAGAAATGGGCCTTCACAATGCGCCCCAAGAGACTCAGCGCCATCTTCAGCTATTCTAGTTCCTCCAGAAGGCCCTAGGAATGGCAAAGCCTAATATGCATCAACATCGATCCCCCCCTCTGCGCAATTAACAAAAATTCTTACCTGTTGGTAGACTTCCTTTCTTTGGGATGTGAGCGTAGGAAGGTACGAAGTAACTCCAGTTTGCACGAGTTGCTTGTTAACCTGTCTCAATGTCTTCCCATAGCTTTGGACATCCTCTGGTATCACGGAGAAGTCAAAGCCAAAAGCACCGTTAAGCTGGCATTCAATGAAGCCTGGCGATAAGATACGTCCATGAAGGTCGACAGTGACGTCAGGGAGACGATGTTCGGTATAGAACGTCTCTTGGCTACGAACAATCTTGCCAGTCTTTGAACTCACCCAGAGGTCCTGCTCGACAAGACGGCTACCTTTGACGAGGCGGCAGTTGGTGAACCTAGTGATTCGGTCTGCCGTAGGAGGTGGTGCAAAGGAAGGCATTATGTAAGGAATCTTTTTCTATTTTTTGTCTTCTGATTTTGAAATTTATCTATACTTACAAAGAAAACTGATCTGAAAAGAAATTATAATAGTTAAGTGGCAAAAATGCTAACGGATCTAATGGGGAAAACTACATAATGGAAATAAAGAAAACAATGGAAAACAGGAGACATGATGCAACTTGCTTAGGAGGCCAATTTTTTCACCAGTTCATCGCATGCCTGCCATCACGGGCCATGATACCGTGACGCGGTTGGATTCGGTCGAGTCAGGGACTACTACCTGCCGTCGCCTTCCTTAAGGTGACTGAGGAGCAGGAGTATGTAACGTCGTATCTGACAAACCGAAATGCCCGGAAGTGGGCGCTCCTCGGCTGGCGGGGCACGGAAGGCCTCCACCGGGCATTTTGGCCATCAAAACCACTCTATTTCCTAGGCACAACAGTAGTGGAATTAGAGATTTCCAAAAGATAAGGGGTTATTTGGAAGATCGATGGAGTTTAGATCGGAGGGAGGGATTGAGAAATAGGTTCTTACAGAAAGCAAGTGCAAGGGTAGTATGTTTTGCAGCCATGGTCACCTGATCGATGCGATAGCTTATCCGTATCAGCACGACATCCCAGTGCTGCAGGGGCCACTATCTACCTGGAGCTACCGGTACCTCCATAAGCGCGGAAGCTTATGGCCTGAGCTAACCACATGGTGGCTTCCTGTGGTATATCTCTCTCTATCCACAAACTAGAATGATGCTGTAGAACACACGAAGATGCCTCGACCTTCCCTCGGCTGAACCCACTGGATAACAGTATTGTGGCGCGTTAGAGAAAGTTCCGTTACAGTCCCTCAAGTAACGTGATTGAGGTGGATCCGCCCGCCGCGAGACAGGAGGATCCAGCAGCAGGAGCAAGATGGCGGACGTTGAGGAGCCTCTGGACCCAACCTGGGATGATCTTGACTGGTGCGCGCCGTTACTAACGAGATATTCCCCGATGAAGGCGTGCTAACCGTCATGACAGGGCCATTGGACAGTGCTTCATGGTTGGTTTTGTGGGCACAGAGGTCACGCCGCAGATTCGTACTCTGATTGAAGACCATCATATTGGTACTATTATGCTAACTGCCAAAAACCTCAAAAGTAATGCATGAAACTTTTCCTACGTTACTGTCGGTTATGGGTTCCTTTTTTCTACCCATGTCCCATCCATAGGTGGCGTTCTCGCTTTTCTGTTGGGTCTTTTCTTTACGTCCTTCTCTTCTTTTGTTTTTGAAGCGCTACGACTCTCACTAGTCTTCTCATTCCGCTCTCGCCCATTATGTTATCTTCTCCTAGGCTCATTCGCACATCTCATCCGAACCAAGTGAAATGCTCGAGGACGTGTGCTAATATTGAATATCTATAGCTGCTCAAGAGACAGCTGAACTGGTCCAAGAGCTTCAGACAATTGCACGCAAAGCTGGTCATCCTGTACCACTGCTCATTGCCTTGGATCAAGAACATGGCGGTGTCAACAGTCTTTTCGATGAAGACTACATCTCGCAGTTCCCTAGTGCGATGGGGATTGCTGCGACAGGAAACGTCGACTTAGCATATGAAATTGCAAGTGCTACAGCAAAGGAAGTCTCTGCTGTCGGTGTCAACTTAATTCTAGGTCCTGTGCTTGATGTCTTGACTAATGCCCGATACCAACCACTCGGTGTCCGTGCAACTAGTGATGATCCTCAGGAAGTATCTCAGTACGGCATTGCTACTATAAAAGGCTACAAGGATGTCGGCCTTGCTACTTGTGGCAAGCATTTCCCATCATATGGAAA